AAAGGTGTTGAGCACAAAACTTAAGTATTTTTCAATATCGGTTGCCATTTCAGCAGCTTGCAGGTGTGTGCTGGCCAATGCCATAAACTTAAAGACCGTTGGCAGCACAAAAAAGCTCGCAAAGGCCATGCCAGCTATAAATAACAAAAAGCTACTCAGAACAAGGGGAAAAATAAAACGTTTTTCGTGGCGGTACAGGCCAGGCGCAACAAACGCCCATATTTGATATAAAACCACAGGTAGTGCTATCACAAAAGCGACATACAACGTCACTTTAAGGGGGGTAAAAAATGACCCAGTAACATCTGTCACAATCATTTTCGAGCCCTTGGGCAAGGTTTTAGCGAGAGGTTCTGAAATAATATTAAAGATTTGTGGTGCCCAATATGCCAATCCCAAAAAACAGACTAGCACCGCTCCAACAGCAATCATCATCCGCGTACGCAATTCGGTCAAATGACTAATAAAGGCTTCTTCAGGTGCAAACTCTTCTTCAACACTGTTTCCTAGCTCTTTGGATTCATGAGCTTCGTAAGGTTCAAGATGCTCTCGTGGCTCAACTTTGGGCAATTGATTCATAGCGTTTTAAATTGCCTATAAAAATTTTGTTTTCGAGGCGTTGGGACGATATTTTTTGACGCGAGCAGAAGCTGATAAAATTTGCCCTTTTTGTGCAACTGCGCTTTTGTACCACATAGGACGAGAACCTTGCTTAACGCGCCAATGTTTTTGGATGGGCTTATATGTTGTCAAAGTTGGCATCGCATCATGGTCTTGCGCCAAATTACCATCAAAAACATGGCGAACTTCATGATTAAGCTCATTAACGGTCGTATTCAAGCTAGATTGAACATTTCTGAGCTCACCTTCAAACTCACTTTTAAGGTTTTTGAGCTCGTCTAATTCAATATGGCGATCAACCTCCAAACGCAAATCACGCATATATCCCTGAATGCGGCCATACAATGTGCCTATTGTTCGCGCAACCTTGGGCAAACGCTCTGGTCCTAACACAATTAAGGCGACCACAGCCACTACGCCCATTTCGGTCATCGAAAAATCAAACATTTTTTAACCGTATGATTATGATTGAATTTTATCTTTTTCCGCTTCGATTATCTTGGTTTTGTCATCACTACTAGCATCGGCAATGCCCTTTTTAAAGCCTTTGATCGATTCGCCTAAATCACTGCCCAAATTGCGTAATCGTTTGCCGCCAAATAATAAAATAAGCAC